AAAGTTTTTACTGGGAAAATACTTTTTTTTTTTATAGAGTTTTGACTTTTAAAAATTTAAAATTACCCCCCGTAAAAAGTTTTTCAAAAAAAAAACTGGTTTTTACCAACTTTTATGGGTATTTTGCACAAACTTATCCCGTGGGCAAAACATGGCATGTCTCTTAAAACTTATTTTTTTAAGCACCATTATTTCGGGACTATCCTGTCAAGACCCTTTTTTCAAGATTTCAAGTCAATGTGGGAAATAAAATAGTTCTTGGTTTCTTTAAAATTTTATAATTAAACTCTGACTTTTCTAAGGGGGTTTTTGGGAAAAGTTTTAAAAAGTTAAAAAAAGGCCCAAAACCGAAAACCCTTTAAATTACTATAGAGAGAAATGCTTCTTTAGGGGTGCAAAATTTAAATTTAGGCCCACTAAATTTAAAAAATTTGACCCCCGATTTGAAAATTAACTCCGAAATTTGTAAAACAGGGTGGTCGATTTAATTTTTTAGTTTGTATATTTTAAAATTAAACATCCTATATAAATACTGTTTTTTTTTCTTTTTAGATGGGACACGGCAAGTTTATTGTAACGATAACGGGCAGATGAGCTGCCCTTTTGGGGTTTGGGGATTACGGGTTGGGAAAATTTTTTCCCTTTTTGTTCCCCCCCACACTATGAAAACCTATGGTGTCGAAAAGTAGACCTTTAAAAAATTTTTGTAAAACAGTGTCAGTCCGTAGTTGCTTTAAGAATCTGTTTTTTTACAAAAAAAAAAATTCTTTAAAGCTACCCAAACCCCCCTTTTTTAAACTATTAATATAAAAATCAAAAAAAGATGATATTTTTTTAAAAAAAAAATACTATCTATAAAATGTGTTTATTAAACCGGTCCAAAAAAAAACATGTTTTAAATTTTTAAAAATTTAAAAGGGAAATGCTCTCCACAATGTTATTTTTATTCCCTATATAAGCCTGTATGGGACGGGGTGCCCAAAAATTTGGGCCCTTTCAAGCCTATTTAAAGGGTTTCCCCAAAACTTTATCTTTGGGGTTTTTTCTCTATCACTGATAGCATCCCCAGCACCCAGTAGATGAAGTGCCTTAAAAAAAATGGTGGTTTCAGGGTTTTCCCCCGGGAAATTTTTTTCAACGGGCCCCGGGGTTCCCACGTTTAGGTACATACTTGGGAAAGACAATTTTTTCCCCCCTGAATTTAGAAACCCAAACCCTTTTCCCCTTAAGTTTGAGGTCCTGCCAAAATCTGCTATGCCATCTGGACCCAGGGCAAGGGTCCCTACCCGCAGCTAGATTCCAGGTGCGGTTTTTGGGAAAAAGAAATTTTAAAGCGGGGAAAATCAAAACCCCCAAAAAAATTTATAGCTAGATGATATGCAAGTGAGGATTTTCCAGAACTCCCTCGGCGACCTCTTTGACATTGGAACCAGTAATGCCCTGGCGCAGATGACCATCGAAGAGGATCGTGTGCTTTACCAAATGCAATGCGAGGATGTCACCTCCTGCAGCATGTCTGGCTCTGATCTCGTAACAGTGGGAAGGGAGAGTTGGAAGCAACTCTGGGAAGAAAAAGAGAAGGCGAAAAGGGCGAGAACAGAGGCTAAGGCAGCTTCATCCTCGGTTGCAGCACCTCAGCTGTCTTCCACGTCCTCCTCCAGCCTCGAGTCCGAGGTCGACAAAGATTTTGCTTCTACTCACAGTTGCTCGACAGGACTTATGGCACCTCCCAAGCGACTGAAGAACATCTTCGCCTCTCCTGCTGTTGCGTCAGCCCTCGATTGAGTCAAGCTCCCAGTCCGTGGAGCCATATTTATGGCAAAAGCCGTGGCATGGGCTCTTGGCCATGAACTCTCAAGTCTGACCATCTGCAAAAGCTCAGTCCGGTGATCTAGGCGGCAAGTACAGCTTTGAATGTACACTCAAGATCGAGAAGTCTTCACCTCCAAAGGTCTGCTTCTCCTGCACTGGATGCCAGAGTGCACAGTGTAGCTGTGCTCATTACTGGCCCAGGAGGTTCCGAGAAGTTGTTAGCTGTGTCAAAGACAGAAAGGGGAATGAGGAAGGCATAGGTGGAGGCATACATGGCAGCTCTTGAAGGCTGGTCACTCCATCCTCATATTCAAAGCCTGGTCTTCAGTACAACCGCCTCGAACACGGGTCTCCACCGCGGAGCCTGTACACTGATCAAAGAAGGGCTGGGTAGGAAACTCATATGGACAGCTTGCCATCATCATGTCTTGGAGCTTGTCTTCTCCAGTGTCTTCAATGTAGTCTTTGAGTCGACTGGAGGACCGGAAACCGAACTCTTCAAGAGGTTTCAAATGGAGTGGTGCAGCGTCAACCAAGAGGTATACGTTGGTGACCCCGGCGAGATGTTCTGTGAACACAGAGAGGAAGAGCAGCACATTGACATGGTTTCTTACATCAAGCAGGCTATGAAGGAGCATCAAGTGTTAGCACACTACGCCGAGTTCCTCAGCCTGAGCTTCCTCTTCTTGGGTGGAGGGGGTGACAAGTGGGCCAAGTTTCAGCCCCCAAGCCCGACGCATTATGTGCAGTGGATGGGGAAGGGATTGTATGTCCTGAAGGTTTACCTCTTCTAGAATCAGTTCAATCTCACTGCCAAGGAACTGCAATGGATCACTCATTTCTCGTCGCCTTGATCTACGTCCGGTTCTCGAACGAGGATCCACGTGGTGTGCAAGCCCCATGCAGTGGTTTGGACTTCCACCAAACTCTTCGAGTGTATAACACAAAGACATCGAGAATGCTGCTGCCATCACCTCTGCACACCATCTCTGATATCTGTTGGAGCACCTGGCTGGATTGGCATTCTTTGACGAGAAAGTGGACATTGCGACAAAGTGCAAGATGTTGACCAACCTTGAGCAGGAAAAGAGATCAGGGTGTCCCCATTGCTTGCAAGGTGTCTCAGAGATCAGAGTTGGACTAGAGTAGTTCGTGTCTAAGAGGACGCTGAAGATGTTTAGTATCTTTGCTGAGCAGAGGAAGGGGAAAGAAAAATCTTCCTTCTTGAAATACGACCCCAAAACGTGGGAGACGAACACGACGTTCTTCGAAATGAAGAAGTCTGCAGGCTCTTTGAAGATCATGAGCGATGCAGCAGAAAGAGCTGTTTCCCTCATTCAGACCTTCAGTGTGTCGCTGACCAAGGACGAGGAGCAGAAACAGTACCTTCTTTGCCTCGTGGTGAATCACTGTCGCTGCTTTCCTGCTCCGACCAAGGAGAGACTAATGAAGGAGGGTGATTGCTGAATTTTAGAGGGAAAGATTGAAGTCCCATCTTTTCTCGTCATTCAAGTAGGCACGAGGACGCATTATTACGAGTGAGCGCAGCAAGCAGAGCGATATCTTACTGACAATTGGTGTGACAAATGAGCAACCCAACACGACCAGATGCTTTTGAGAGGCTAATAAGTTTTTCCTATATACAGCTAGCCCTCCACTTTCGTGAGTTCCACTTCTGCGAGCTTCAAACATTCGCGAATGCCCAGCTGCCCAATTGAGAGGAGCATAATTCCCTACAAAATTCTGTTTGTAGATATGAAGAGGAAACGGTCTCAGTTGACCATCGCAATATTCTTCGCAAGGAAGCCTGCCACTACCCCTGCCACTATCCCTGCCACTACTCCTTCTGCTACCCTTACCACCTCACCTGAGCCTCAACCCATGGCAGAATCTGACTCCATTGCTAACTCTGACTCTAGCAATGTCGGCAGTGACACTGACAGTGAAAAGTTAGAATCCACACACTAGACTCATCATGCCATGCAGTTTCAATCTATATAATTATCTCCATTCAACTGTCATCAGCAACTGCATGGCTAACTATCATCACCATCATCATCATCACAAGTCGTCAGAGTTCTGCCTAACCTTACGAGTGGTGAGTGTTTTGTTTGTTCATTATTTGTTATTAAACCATAACATGTATATACAATATTTTACGATGTTTTCATGTCTTTTATGATTGGATCAATAGGTTAAGGAATCAGTATTGATAGACTAAATGCTATTATTATATTTCCCTACATTTTATTTGCACACCAAACATTCGCGAATTCTCAAGATTCACGAGGTTCTTGATCCCCTGACCCTCACGAATGTGGAGGGCCTCCTGTAAGATAGAGACCTAGTTCCCATCGAATCTGATAGTCTCATGAAATTAATTATTATTAACCGTTTTTTTCACTGAAATTCCATGGAAACCTCCCAGAAAACCACGGTATTTGAGGGGATGTTTGGCCAAATTTTCATGTTCGTTCATTTGAGAAGCGAACTGAGTGAGATTTTCTGTCGTGACACTGTTTTTTTTACTGAATTTGAAAGAGAAAAGATGGGAGAATACGATTAAGAATTTACATTAACTTTTTTTTCAACTTTTATTGGGAGAAATCAGCTGGGGAAAACTACCATTTTCAATGATTTTTCAGTTGAATACAGAGTCCAGTGGTTGATGAAGGTCGATCAAAACTGACTATTTCTCATTCAAGAATTCATGACAAAACACTTTGCTTTATTTAAATCGAGTGGTATATCCTCTTCAGTGCATAAATAATCGCTCGCTCGTTTCACGCTCAACAAAGCGCTAAAAACTGGTTATTGAGTCATCCTGCTGCTAGAGAAAATTGGAACTATGCTATGCGAAAGAGGAAGAAAAACTTAAATTTCTTCAGTTTCTCTTCTGTCGGCGAGGGACGCCTTTTTACTCAACCTCTAAAACTGAAAAAAATTTCCTGAAAATTAGTGTGAATGTTACTTAGGAAATATAATAAAATAAAACTTGTGAAGCGAACAATTTCACAACTTTATGTTTTTTGGACCGGTTTAGTGTGTATATATTAGATGATTATACACCTTGCTTTAGGTTTCAAAATATTATTCTTTAAATAAAAAAAAAATTTCCTTACTACACAGGTCACCAACTTTACCAGAACTTACACGTGCATCATGTATGTTGAGCTACTGCCACACCAGATACAGCAGATACAGCTGTCTCACTTACCCTGTGGAGTAGCAAAGTCTGCAAAATTCCAGATCATCTCCCCAAAGAAGAAGCCTCGGCTGCGAAGCTCATCGAAAGCTTCAAAGTTCTGGATCATCAGCTTAGCCTGATACTCTTCAGTCCATGTGAATTCTGGATCCTTAAGGGAAAAAAATAATCATTGTAAAATTCACTGAAACTGGGAAAGTACAATTCCTGCACTCTAAAGGAGGGTTTTGATATTGGTAGTTTGGAGGGACATCTAAACTCATATATCAGCGCCTCTGCAAAAAACAGTGATTATGTACGATTGACCATGAAAGTGTTGAATGATGATGAAAGTTTTTTCTTTTTGTGTCACCCTGTCTCTGTAGGAAACGGCCATCGTGTTAAAAAAACAAATCACTTTATAGATCTGTTGTTGAAATGCCAGAGAAATCAAGCATGTTATATACTCAAGGAAAGTACTAAATCTGTAAGAGTTAAACTGTGCCTGGGAAAAGGAAGTAAACAGGTTTGATCCAAGGAAGGGAAAGATTGCTTTAATTCCTCAGACTGAGCTTTTCATCAGCCTCATTGTGCTTCCTTGAAAAGAAAACCAAGCAATCAACCAACAATATGCATTGTTTTGGACAACGTATTAGAATGACCAAGTGAGAGTATAAATGTAGGTCTACCAGCTTTCTCCCACCAGATCTGAAGGTGTAAGAATTTTGGCATATTATTACAGGATCGACACTGACTTGCAAGCCGTAATATTACGGGACCGACAGTGAAAGGGTTAAGTGAGGAGAGGTTGCATATCAGATCAGAGTGAGTAGAGACGAACCGTTTTTATAGTTTGATGATCTGTTTGAATGTGAGCAGTGTGAGGTAATTAACATTTATTAAGGTATTCAGGAAAACTAGTTGGTAGAACTAGAGTCTTGGAGGTGGGAAGTGCAGTGTCTGCACTCTGATGGAGCAGTGTAATCTTGCAGTTGAGGATCATTTGAACTGTGAAGTCAAGAAATTTTTGCAAGACAGCTATTAAATGAATTATGGTGAATGGGTTTTCATTGTTTTGGGTCACCCTACCTTGGTGGGTCTGTCTCCCACTGATGTAGGGACCCTAAAAGAAGAAACGCATTAACCATCGTTCATTCAGTTACTGTCTAGCCAGCAACATGCTGATGTCACAGTTCAGATGACACTCTAAACTACAACATCCTCATCCCTCATCCATCAATGTTATATACATTGCTCACGCTCCAACAGCACATCAAGCCATAAAAATCACTTGCTTCCACTCATTCCAATCTAACGTGCTCACACAAGCCTGTTGAATACCAAAGCTCTTAGCACTCAAAAACCTCCTACCCTCTCCTTCCTTCAGCCTTTTATGGGATGGCGCCTACCTCCACACAAGGTTTATATACCCACTTAATCATCCTATTTTGCTCCTTCCTCTCTAAATGTTCAAACTACCTTAACACCCTCTCCTTAGTCCTCTGAATTATATTTCTGGTGATCCCAGACCTAGCCTACAAGGCTCAAATTCTCTGAATAACCTAGTGCTGACACCACTCTGTAATACTAATGTTCAAACATGCCGAGGTGGAGGCATAAGGATACAACGTAATAACCGTTTATCTGAACGATATTTATAACAATAACACTTCTTCAGAAAGTGTTCCAAATTCAACATAGTCGACAGTGCCGAAGTCAACACACAAATGTGTAGACCACCAAATCTTGCAGAAAGCAGTCCATACAATGAACATATTCTGCACATAAAAGACAATGCTCAGAATGTATATTTTTCCCCAAAAATAAGTGTGTAAGGTGTATTTACGAAACTCTTTAACAACTACTTCCATCCTTTCCCAGGTCGTCAACATCAAGTGTGAAGAAGTAAAAAAAAAAAAGATTGGAAAAAGTCCGCTTGCAGTCTGCCCAGAGCAAAGTCTCACTTATCAACATAATGTAAATAATTTAAGGAAGGAGAGCATCTTCCACTACTCACTATTTATTACAAATACCAAATCTATCGTGAAATATTATCATGTTCTTTGCATCAAAGGTCTGGGTGAAAAGATGGTCAGCATTCAGTGCCATATTAAAAGGAACTGGGGTGCCGGCACAAAAGGGATCCTCATACAGCAGGATTCTGGGCAATCTGTGCACAAAAAAAAATTCTTTTCAAACGATTACCTTTACAGCCATCTACACAGCACTGATACGTAGGGACACAGCAAGTCCCACTACCATGGCAAGATGCCTATAAATTACTACACTTTTTAAATTTATGAAAATTAAAAAAATTTTCAATTTATTCCTTTCCTTACATTTACAAAGACTTACCAAATTAGTAATATGCAATTTTTCCCGATAACACTGATATACACATCCTTGATAACGTGAAAAATACCGAAAATGATTGGAAGTTCAGTATTTTTTCACATTGGCTGTTTTACATATTGTGGTATCACCTGTTTACTGTGATCTTATTGCTTACTGAATAAATAAATATAAAATTTAATGAAAGACGATAATACAGCTGAAGGAAATATATGGCAGTAAGACTGGAAGAAGTCTGTAAAATACAGCCTCAAGACTTCAATACACAGATCAAAATAAGAGAATGTAAAAATTAGAGAACTAACCATATGAAAACCTGGAATGGAATCGGCTCCATACTCCGAGATCATGACTGGTTTATTATGGAGTTCATGCCACTCTGTAAACTCTGTGATGGTCTGTGGCTTGATGACTTCCAAGTGGCCAGTGTCGCTGTACCATGAGTAGTAGCGGTTCACCAGGATCACATCAAGACTGCTTACCTGAACAGTTAAATAACATTAACAGTTGCTCAGTGAGGAAACGAAGGTTTTGAGTTATATGCAACAAAATATGTAGGTAAAAATATAGTGTCCTTTCATAATGTTAACTCAGAGAATACAAATTACAAAAAGACAATTTAAATTGAATCATTAATGTAAACTGAATAATAAAAATTTAATAATAATATCTTTATCTACTACAAGTACATGTACATGGTATACAGGTCTAGCTAACATCAATGACATACTGCTATATAGAAAGCCGCTTGTTATGCTGAGCATATCGGCAAATTAAGTCAGTTTTGTCCCAGGATGCAACCCACATCAGTCAACTAACACCCAGGTATCCAGTTTGAACTGATTGGTAAACAAGGACAGGGACAGCATGTGTTATGGAAACACGTCCCTAATGTTTTCCAGCCGTTCTGGAGGAGATTCGAACCCCGGACCTCAGTGTGTGAGCAAAGTGCGCTAGCGATCGAGCTATGGGACACTTAAATCATATCAAAACTATTTTACATAGATTTGTATCAATGGACTTCCACTAATAGATAAGAATAAAATGAAGGGAAGGGTTAATATAAACAAAGAATTACGTAACATACTGTACTGGAAAGACATAGGGAATGAGTGATGGGTAATTAATTTTATTTTCTTTGGAAAGCTCCGACTTGATGGGAAATAATGAGAGACTGACAGAAATGATCTTTGTCAAGTGGTAATTTAAGAAATGTTGCAGAGCTCTTAACATCAAACTTGACCTGCATATTCAAGATATACTGTAATGGTTTAAAGCTAGTAGTACTAGGCTTGCTAGTGAATCTTGGCTAATGAAGATAAGGTGAATAATTTAATATGAAACTTTGTTACAAAAGCTAAAAAGAAAATGTAATAAAGCCTTTCCTCACTTAACGACGGAGTTCCATTCCTAAGACCACATTGGTAAACGAATTCGTCGCTAAGCAAGGAGCATATTGCTTTAATGTCGCTACTGCACCATTTATAACATTTTTATTATATTTTTAAAAGTTTATGCAGTAGTGTACTGTATGCTGTAATAAACAAAATAGAGGGAATCAACTCTAATACATTATTTAGGAATACATACTGGTCAGAAAGCCTGTCATAAGTCCGAGTCATTGATAAACGAGTACTTTGCTAAGTGACGGGAGGCTGTACTGTTTATATAGTGTCAAAGAGATGTATATGCAGATAGTCAAGATATTGCTTTATAAATTTGCAAATTTTCTAAACGTACAAAGTGATGCCACAGGAATTTGTACAAAGGAGGATAATGGTGATATTAATTTTGATGGGAGGATGAGGACTCGTTTTGCAGCTGTATTATTATTGATTATTATTATTATTATTATTTTTATTCGGAGGGGCTTTTGGAGGATGACTGATGGAGATTAATTAGACGGTTAAAGTATTCCCTTGTCCTTCCTTGGTGCTGCCAATGTGCAGTATAATGAACACAGATTTAACATATTGAGTTAATACTAAATGGTAATCTAAGCAACATTACATATATTTAAATATTTTACACCTGTAAAGTTAACACAAGCATAATGTGCACACAAAAAGCATTTTCAAACATTCAGAATAATATATTTCAGAAAAAACATAAATCAAGTCATAAAAATATATTAACATTAATATATAATATATAAATATATTAATATATTTTAATATTAATTATGCATTAAATGTTAAAAAATGGGGAAAATGTTGACACGACATGAATGACACAGTTACTACAAGAAAGTTAAACCACCAGAGACAAAAATTTAATACACATACAGCATGTTCTTTGTCCTTTGGTCGATTAAGTGCAAATGTTACAGGTCAATAGGAGTCTTCAGCTTTGGTAGCAGATACCACTTTACTGAGGAACAATAGAACTGCAGTAAATACAAGATAAGGAATGCCTAGGCATGCTAGTGGCCTTCTTTGTAATTAATATTTTATAACATATAAACCACACATTGTAAGCTTTACATTGAAATAAACATTCTGATTTTGATTTGATTTTAAAAAAGGACGCAAGAGAAGGCAAATTTACCACGAGACCATCTGCAGATCTTATTTATCTCGAGAAGTAAAACACGAAACAAAACACCCTCTGTCTTTGTCATCCCGTGATGAAGCTAATGTCAACACCAACATAAAAATATGTATGACCTAATAAAGAATATCAGAGTAGAAGCATTAAAAAGAACGTGTATCTCTTCCGTCTTCCTCTCACTTCCGGTGTTCCGTTTACATAACACATTTCTCTGTCACAGTCTTATGCTTTGCAATAGTTTCCTATTTTCTTGTAAATTCTGACCAAAATATTTTACTCAGGCACTAAGTGCTGAATTATAGAATGAGAATGGAATGTGTTCAGTGCGACAGTAAATAAATATGCTGTTTCAACAGTCTTTGTAAAGCAAACCACAAGCTAGTGCTGTTTGAGCAGTTCTTACACAAGTTAGTGCTGTTTGAACAGTTTTTACACAAGCTAGTACTGTTGTAGATAGACTCTGTATAACCTAACAATCTAATGCTGCCCAAACAGTCAATGTACAGCCTCAAACAAGCCTGCATTGTTTAGTCAGTGTACAAGGCAGGTGCTCTAATAAACTAAGTCCACTGACGAGTTGATTTTATTAACCTACAGCAAAGTCAAGAAGATTCTGATTCAGTAAACATGTGACTGGTCGAGACAAGTCAGCTATGTGGGTGGCATTTACAACTGACCTCCTGATCAATTACAGATTAGTACTTGTAGTAATAGTAGTAGCAGTAGTAGTAGTAGTGCATTTATTATACTACTGTATTGAAAGAAAGCACTAAACCCATGTGGGTTGAGGTAAGTCTGGAAAGTGAACCTGTGAAGGTTATTAAGTGCTGCTTGGAAGGGTGAGGCTGTCAGATGAGTGAGAAAGGTAGAAGTGGTGAGATAGAAGTGGCGACGATGAGCAAAAAGATCACTGGAAATAGTCGAAGTATGCACAATAAAACATTTTCAATAAAAATACCTTATAAACTGAATTTGCATTAGAGGTCAGAGAGAATGAGCATATATGACCATTAAAGGAAAGCTGTAAAATAAAGTCTGTCGTCTCTGATGAGTAGGACAATGAAGAGATTTTTAATTGAAGATATCGACACAACTTGATGATTCTCGTCCCTGAAGTATGACAAACAGGAAGTGATAAAAACAAGAGACAGACACGTATAGCAAAAGGAGACATTAATGCAGTTCACCTACAAAAGCTTCCCTGTACTGTACATGTCTGATAATTCCCACAGGTGGCACTGGGTGTTCCTCTTCAAGATGACCACAAGAGAGCCTGGTAGGGCCAACACGCAGGTGGCACTGGTTGTTCCTCTACAAGATAACCACAAGAGAGCCTGGTAGGGCCATCACGCAGGTGGCACTGGTTGTTCCTCTTCAAGATAACCACAAGAGAGCCTGGTAGGGCCATCACGCAGGTGGCACTGGGTGTTCCTCTTCAAGATGACCACAAGAGAGCCTGGTAGGGCCAACACGCAGGTGGCACTGGTTGTTCCTCTACAAGATAACCACAAGAGAGCCTGGTAGGGCCAACACGCAGGTGGCACTGGTTGTTCCTCTACAAGATAACCACAAGAGAGCCTAGTAGGGCCAACACGCAGGTGGCACTGGTTGTTCCTCTACAAGATAACCACAAGAGAGCCTAGTAGGGCCAACACACAGGCACGAGAGCAACATTTCCCACAATCAACAACACTGAAGATAACTCACCAGCACCATACTCTTAATTAACCACAGCCATGTATCATATTAAAATACAAAAGAATATAATAGGAAGATTTCCTGTCATCATCAACAAAGAACAAAATGAAATAACAATAAAGAAAAAAATGAGTCTTCACAGAGTGGTGGGACAACATAAAAGACGAGAAATTGAAAAATCATACGACATTATGCTTTTGGAAGCACGACTAATTATTTTGGTACAGATATAAAAAATTCACAATACCACAACCGAAGCAATTCACAAATCCAATTTTTTTTTAAGCAAAACAGGAATATGTTGCAGTTGATTCTAGGCCTTTTATGATATTATTAGTGAATATGAAAAGAGAACACGAAAAATCACAAGATAGTGGGAGATGAGACAGCCAAGACCAGGGCAAACTATGTATATTATGAAGATTGGAACATTTAACAAGGGTAAGGGTGAAGGAAGATTTTAGAAAATTTAATTACGAATACGAGGAAATTTAACAAGACTACATCTATAAAGGTTCAAAAAGGGAGAAGTAATTTTGTCAGATAACAAACCCCTGAACCATTCAATCCAGGATGGACTGAAAAGTCATCTAGTTTCTATTTCCAATTTATTGCACAATCCTTACTGTATCTCACGACTGGACGAGCAGCTGATAATCTTCATGGAAATTTGAAGCAGCCATTGCAAGAAATTACCAACAAGAGGAAAAAACAACCAAACACTTCACAAATATGTAATTAAATTCACCTACCTCCTCTGTCGTCTCATTCCCTTGGAGTTTATCTTTAAGTGATATGCAACACAAAAGTTTCTACCACGTCTTATGTAAATATTCACACTCAGTCACAGAAAAAATAATTTTAGGCAGACATTTCAATAATGTATTATATAAGAACGAGCACAAATAACTACAATAATTCAGCGTACATACAGCATGTTCTACACTTGAGTCATAAGACAACACACAAGTAACTTAGCGAGACACATCATCAACATTGGTTGCATTTACAACATTGCTGTAAAAAAAGTCACTGCAGATGTCGAACTTAATGCCACACTACTACAGTACTGCTCCAGTAAAATGTACAAATGCATCTTTGAGATGTAGTTGGTTTTTCTATATAAATCGCAGCAAGAAGAAACAAATATTTTCTTACGATAAGTATATTTTAGAATTATGTACTAAATGCAAAAATAATATAAACTTCATAGTTTTCTTCTTTATCGGATCACCCTGTCTCTGTGTGTGGAAAAAAAGTGTATTTTGTGTGTTTCACTACAAGAGTATACCTGTAGCACTTTTAATCAAGAGCCAAATTCCTACAGACCTTAATTACACACTGCCATGCTAGGAGGGAGGAGTATGTGGAGAGAAAAAGAGAGGCTAAAAGCTTGGTGAAGCAATGTGAAAAGAGAGCAAATGAGAGAGTGGGTGAGATGTTATCAACAAATTTTGTTGAAAATAAGAAAAAGTTTTGAGTGAGATTAATAAGTTGTGGAAGCCTAGGGATGGATTTAATAGTTAAAAATATGAGAGGTGAGTTATTAAATGGAAAGGTAGAGGTATCGGGAAGATGGAGGGAATATTTTGAGGCACATGGAATAGGAGAAGAAATTTCTTCCTGGGTAGAGGCATGGTTGACAAATAGGCAGCAGAGACTGCATAAATGGGGTGAAATCAGAATGAGGGCACGTCACAAGAGGTATTCAGCAGGATCAGTGGTGGTCCCCTTGTTGTTCACAGTTTACATAAATGACATAGATGAGGGAATAAAGAGCGACATGAGCAAATTTGCTGATGACACAAAAATAGGCCGTCCAATTCATTCTAATGAGGACATTAGAGCACTCCAGGATGATTTGAATAAACTGATGCAGTGGTCGGAGAAGTGGCAGATGCAGTTTAATATTGATAAATGTCAAGTTCTAATTAATATATATATATATATATATATATATATATATATATATATATATATATATATATATATATATATATATATATATATATATATATATTAGCACACTGGCCGATTCCCACCAAGGCAGGGTGGCCCGAAAAGAAAAACTTTCACCATCATTCACTCCATCACTGTCTTGCCAGAAGTGTGCTTTACACTACAGTTTTTTTAAACTGCAACATTAACACCACTCCTTCAGAGTGCAGGCACTGTACTTCCCATCTCCAGGACTCAAGTCCGGCCTGCCGGTTTCCCTGAATCCCTTCTTAAATGCTACTTTGCTCACACTCCAACAGCACGTCAAGTATTAAAAACCATTTGTCTCCATTTACTCCTTTCAAACACGCTCACGCATGCCCGCTGGAAGTCAAAGCCCCTTGCACACAAAACCTCCTTTACCCCCTCCCTCCAACCTTTCCTAGGCCGACCCCTACCCCGCCTTCCTTCCACTACAGACTGATACACTCTTGAAGTCATTCTGTTTTGCTCCATTCTCTCTACATGTCTGAACCACCTCAACAACCCTTCCTCAGCCCTCTGGACAACAGTTTTGGTAATCCCGCACCTCCTCCTAACTTCCAAGCTACGAATTCTCTGCATTACATTCACACCACACATTGCCCTCAGACATGAAATCTCTACTGCCTCAAGCCTTCTCCTCGCTGCAACATTCATCACCCATGCTTCACACCCATATAAGAGCGTTGGTAAAACTATACTCTCATACATTCCCCTCTTTGCCTCCAAGGACAAAGTTCTTTGTCTCCACAGACTCCTAAGTGCACCGCTCACCCTTTTCCCCTCATCAATTCTATGATTCACCTCATCTTTCATAGACCCATCTGCTGACATTCACCTCCTCCATACTCTCTCCCTCCAATCTGATATCCAATCTTTCACCACCTAATCTTTTTATTATCCTCATAATCTTACTCTTTCCTGTATTCACTTTTAATTTTCTTATTTTACATACCATACCAAATTCATCTACCAACCTCTGCAACTTCTCTTCAGAATCACCCAAGAGCACAGTGTCATCAGCAAAGAGCAACTGTGACAACTCCCAGTTTATGTGTGATTCTTTATCTTTTAACTCCACGCCTCTTGCCAAGACCCTCGCATTTACTTCTCTTACAACCCCATCTATAAATATATTAAACAACCACGGTGACATCACACATCCTTGTCTAAGGCCTACTTTTACTGGGAAATAATCTCTCTCTTTCCTACATACTCTAACTTGAGCCTCACTATCCTCGTAAAAACTCTTCACTGCTTTCAGTAACCTACCTCCTACACCATACACATGCAACATCTGTAATATAATATTGTTTATAAGATTTGAACACCACTTTAAAAAGAGACAGAACAATCTTAATATCATACATATCCTCATACATAAAGCACAATGAACAAATATAGCTTAAAAGGTTAGGCACAGTAACAGTAAGTAGCTGCAATGGCAAGAAAATGTATACAGTGTTCGTGACTTTTAAAACCTCATACCGGGTAACTACTGCCATCTATTATACTGCCCATTGCATCATGTTGATCATTAAATACTATACAATGTAATCCATCATCAATTTTGTATACATCCTCAACCTGAATGTAAATATTTGATGTGACAAGATTGTTTATTATTCAGATTTGTAAATAATATAAAGAGTTATATAAATACTAACTTCTGACATTTACTTTAAAATAAATGCAGTAATTTTTGTCCTTTTTTGTTCCAGTACATTAATACAGAGCAGCTTTGTTCCCACTGGGAAAAATACTGGTACAATGTACAGCCAATATTATATAATAAATTCTTTACACTGTTTGATATTCCTTTTCCTCCCAGGATAATATCGGACAAGGTACGAGTACCGTTAAAACCAGAAAAATGTTGAGAAATGTGTCAGTGTTAACATATATGAGGCACACACACACACACACACACCTTCCAAAAATCAAAAAAATTTTGACAAGGAAGAGTGACAGCCTCATTAAAACATGAATGAATAAGTGTAACAATTGTCACTGTCAATTAGCATGAAGAGCATAATAATCCACCACCAATCAAAAGAAAAATGATCACATCCCCTATACAATGAGGGTGAGTCTGTACATACAGCATGTTCAGTGCTCTTGTCAGCATACACAGCACAGGTTACTGGACGTGTCTGGTCAAACTTCTTGGTAGAATTAACCACATTACTGTAAATATTTGTTAAGATTTAGTGGTATACAGACCTTACAACTAGCTTAGTTGCTTAGTATTACAAGAAACTTTTTCTCGTCTGGGGACTGCATAATTGTTGTTAAACTAGTGTACCTCATCAGTCTCTTATATAATGACGGGGAATACGATCTTTATACACTATATACCATCTTTATACATTACAGTTGACCCTTGAACAACATGGTAGTTAAAGGGCGCTGAGTCCCCGTGCTGTCAATCTTTTGACTCTACGAAAACCTTACCAATAGTTTGCTGTTGACTGGAAGTCTTCCCAGTAACATAAACAGTTGATTAGCATATTTTGTATGTTATATATCTTATATATTGTATTCTTAAAATAAAGTAAGCTAAAGAAAATGTCACTAAGAAAATCATAAGGAAGAGAAAATACATAAACAGTCCTGTACTGCATTTATTGATACCGTAAGTTTACGTCGTCTTTCCATCAGTACCTACATCAATATTGTCTTATATGATACAAAACACTGTAGATGTTATACATATTGCTAATACTAGATATCAAAAATGAAAATATAATGGTAAGATAATGGTGTCTTTTTTCTTTCTCATAAACATGCAAGATTTCAGGTATGTCTTGCTACTGTGATGAATGGTTTGAAAAACCGACAAGTTGAAGATTGAGACACTTATGCAGCATATGGAAATCTTTATTCAGGAAACGTTTCGCCACACAGTGGCTTCATCAGTCCAATACAAAGAGGAAGGCGTAAGGAGAGGAGGAGAATGAGGTAATCAGTCCCTCAACCTGGAGTCGATGTGTTCAGTCCATCAATCTTGTAGAATGTACAGCATAGGGCCGTAGACGTGGCTTATATACTGTAGTGAGGTGGCGTGAAGCAGATGGAGGCGGGGTCATAGTGGTACCATCCACTAGTCGAAGTAGGTCTTCGTCCAAAGGTTGAACAAGTGTTGAAGAATTCTTTGTAACAAGATCCCATGATGCTGCAGTGTCCGACAGTTGTGATGAATGGTTTGAAAAACCGACAAGTTGAAGATTGAGACACTTATGCAGCATATGGAAACGTTTCCTGAATAAAGATTTCCATGTGCTGCATAAGTGTCTCAATCTTCAACTTGTCGGTTTTTCAAACCATTCATCACAACTGTCGGACACTGCAGCATCATGGGATCTTGTTACAAAGAATTCTTCAACACTTGTTCAACCTTTGGACGAAGACCTACTTCGACTAGTGGATGGTACCACTATGACCCCACCTCCATCTGCTTCACGTCACCTCACTACAGTATATAAGCCACGTCTACGGCCCTATGCTGTACATTCTACAAGATTGATGGACTGAACACATCGACTCCAGGTTGAGGGACTGATTACCTCATTCTCCTCCTCTCCTTACGCCTTCCTCTTTGTATTGGACTGATGAAGCCACTGTGTGGCGAAACGTTTCCTGAATAAAGATTTCCATATGCTGCATAAGTGTCTCAATCTTCAACATGTCTTGCTACTTCTACTTATACCTAGGTCACACTACACATGCTTGTACGCATTTATGTATACACACTAATCTGAGTTTCCTTTGATTTTATTTTTATAGTTTTTGTTCTTATTACTTTTCCTTTCATATCCAAGGGTAAGCGGAATAAGAATCTTTCTTCCATAAGCCAAAAACCATCTAAAATGCCGGGAGCAATGGGCTAGTAACCCTGTTTCCTGTTTAGCCTACTATAAAGATAAAGAAGAAACCCATCAAAGTAGGATGTTTGAACGTGAGTAGTTGTAGTGCGAATGATAAGAAAGAGATGTTTGTGGATGTTATCAATGAAAAGAAGCTGGATATCCTGGCTCTAAGTGAAACAAAGCTGACAGGCGTAGGAGACTTTCAGTGGGGAGAAATAAATGAGATTAGGTCAGGGGGTTTCTAATAAAGTTAGAGCTAAGGAAGGGGTAGCAATAATGTTGAGGGAGTAAAATAAGGGTTGGATGTGAAAAGTGGGTTATAGTAAGTGTTCATGAACCTGAAGAAGAGAGAAGTGTAGAGGAGAGAGAGAGAGAGATTTTGGGAAATGTTGAGTGAGAGCGTGGGGAGTTTTGAACCAAGAGAGAGAGAGTACTTGTGGTTGGGAATCTCAATGCTGAAGTGGATAAAAATGTTGAAGAGGCAGTTGTAGGTAAATTTGGGGTGCCAGGGGTATATGAAAACTGGGAGCCTTTAACTGAGCGATGTGTAGAAAGAGGTTTGGTAATAAGTAATACATATTTTAAGAAAAAGAGGATAAATAAGTAGGCAAGATATGATGAGGCACATAATGAAAGTAGTTTGTTATATTATGTATTGGTGGATAAAAGGTTGATGGGTAGGCTTCAGGATGTACATGTTTGTAGAGGGATAATGGATATATTGGATAATTATCTAGTTGTTGCTACATTTAGAATAAGAGGTAGATGGGACAAAAGTAAAAGAGAGGTGAACGTTTATAAACTAAGGAAGAGGAAGTTAGGGTGAGATGTAAGAAACTATTGGCAGAAAGGTGGGCTAGTGCAAGCATGAGAAGTGGGGGGGAGGGGTTTGAAGAGGGTTGGGATAGTTTTTAAAACGTGGTATTACAATGTGCGGCAAAAGTTTATGGTTATAGGAGGGTGGGTGCAGGAGGAAAGAGGATTGATTGGTGGAATGATGAAGTAAAGGGTGTGATAAGAAAAAAATAGATAGCTCATGAGAGGTTTTTACAAAGCAGAAGTGTTATAAGAAGAGCAGAGTATATGGAGAGCAAAAGGAAGATGAAAAGAGTGCTGAGAGTGCAAAAGGAGAACAAATGATAGAGTGGGAGAGGCACTCTCAAGAAATTTTGCTGAGAATAAGAAAAAAAATTGGAGTGAGATAAGCAAGCTAAGAAAGCCTAGGGAATGAATGGATTTGTGAGTTAAAAACAGAGTAGAAAAGTTAGTAGATGGAGAGATGGAGGTACTGGGTAGATGGCGAGAATATATTGAGGAACTTTTAAATGTTGATGAAGAAAGAGAGGCGGTAATATCATACACTGGCCAGGGAGGTATAACATCTTTTAGGAGTGAAGAAGAGCAGGATGTGAGTGTGGGGGAGGTGCGTGAGACATTACGTAGAATGAAAGGGATTAAAGCAGCTGGAACTGACGGGATCATGACAGAAATGTTGAAAGCAGAGGGGTATATAGTGTTGGAGTGGTTGGTATTTTTGTTTAATAAATGTATGAAAGAGGGGAAGGTACCTAGGGATTGGCAGAGAGCATGTATAGTCCCTTTATATGAAGGGAAGGGGGACAAAAGAGATTGTAAAAAATATAGGGGAATAAGTTTACTGAGTCTACCAGGTAAAGTGTATGGTAGGGTATTTATTGAAAGAATTAAGAGGTAGGACAGAAAGCCGGGATGCAGATGAGCAAGGAGGTTTTAGAGTGGGTAGGGGATGTGTAGATCAAGTGTTTACATTGAAGAATAAATGTGAACAGTATTTAGATAAAGGTAGGGAAGTTTTTATTGCATTTATGGATTTAGAAAAGGCATATGATAGAGTGGATAGAGGAGCAATGTGACAGATGTTGCAAGTATATGGAATAGGTGGTAAGTTACTAAATGCTGTTAAGAGTTTTTATGAGGATAGTGAGGCTAAAATTAGGGTGTGTAGAAGAGAGGGAGAATACTTCCCGTTTAAAACAGCATCTTCGCAGTGTATTCTCATATGGTTTTCATGTTTATATTCTCGGTTTCTTGGTCTCATTTGATAAAATGGACGATATGTTACAGAAATGAAGATGATTTTGATTGACTTCAGGACTGAAAGCAGCATGAAATTGAGCTCAAAGTAGTGGAACAATTCGATTTTTGCCAATGTTCCAGAATACACAGATTGCGTCACTCTTCCACTATGTGTCAGATTGGTCGGTGTAATATACGTTCAGGAATGTGCTCGCATTATTTATACAATTATTACAATAATTCAATAGTGTGAATAACAGTAAATCTTCTATTTTTTGTATGAATAAAAATTCAAAATGGAAAGTAAGCATAATACAGGGGAGTCCTGGGGACTTAACTAATGAACAAAGGAAATGTTTTTTAGTGCCAGGAATATCTACATTGTTTATTCTGGATCCTGTTTATATATTGGCAACATTTCTAATTGTGTGTTAATTGGCCAAATTACTTATTTCTGATCACTTTATTGGGTACTCGAAATAGGTAAATGATTTTTATACTCAATACAATACTAGGAATACTAGCAAAATAGCTATGAGTTTAGTTGACTGGAACAATGGAATTGGCCTAAAATAGGACTCAAAGTGGGCTAAATCGCCAAAGCGTGAATATCACTTTGCAATAGCGTAATTCCCTAGGTTTTCCATCAAATATCGTGCTTTTGTTTCCATTACCTTCGGAAAAAGATACTCTGTCATTACAAAAGATTTTAAAAGATTTTTTTGGGGGAGGGGGAGGGGGGAGGGGAAATTTCTCAACCATGTGAGCCATTCTCAGATCAGGGGATCAGAACCTAAACTGGTTAATTTCCTTAAAGGGATTACTAAAAAAAAGTAAATATAATGGAATAAAATAATTTATTTTACTTATCCCAAGTTGATACCAACAGTACTAATGTTGAACCTACCACCATTCAATGTAAAAAACAAAAGCAAAAATGTCATTTTATATATATATATATATATATATATATATATATATATATATATATATATATATATATATATATATATATATATATATGTCGTGCCGAATATGTAAAACTGGTCAATTAGCTAGAACTCATTTAAAATTAAGTCCTTTCTGAAATTTTCTCTTATACCTTTAAAGACCATTTTTTTCTTTAATGATAATGTAAAAAAAATTTAATTTTGCACCAAAAGAATCTTAGGAAACTTACCTAACCTTATTATAACAAGAACAATTTATTTTAGCCTAACCAAACTAAATATGGTTTAGATTAGTTTACAGTAATTTAATACTAAACAAACACAGTGAAATATATTTTTTCCGTTAGGTTCAGTATGATTTTGGCTAAATTATTGCATACACAAAATTTCACTTGTCCTGTATGGCAAGATGAGCGTTGCTATTTAAGCCAAGATCGCAAGTTCTGCCTATTCCGCACGACATATATATATACGTATATATATATATATATATATATATATATATATATATAAAATTTATATATATATTATATATATATATATATTATAATATATATATATATATATATGAGATTTAGTTATAATAAAAGAATTTACTGACCTGAAATAGTTCTTGGCAGCTTCCTGGTCTGCCTGCGGCTCATTAGCAACACTCCACATGATGACACTGGGTCGGTTCTTGTCTCGACGCACTAGCTCTTGCATCACAGATATGTGTTTATTCATCAGTGGCTCATCAAAACCACTGAGTAGAAAAATTGTTAGTGTGTCATCAGAATGAATAGTAAGAATATCAAATACTTTTTAATTACAAATTATTAAGGCCAACTAACAAAATTTTTTAATAAACTGGGACATATTTGATCTGTTTAGAGAATATGCATTAATTTTGTTTACCTTCTGATATTCACTGAAGACGAGCTTGAAAATTATTACAGTTATGCACAATACATGACAGTAATAAATCCATGGAGGTCATGAATAATACTGGAAACAATAACAATTAGTACCTGAGACCAACAGCTGGACATTCATCAATAATCATAATTCCTTCCTGATCAGCCATATCCATGATCTCCTCAGCATACGGGTAGTGAGAAGTACGGAAGCTGTTGGCTCCCAGCCACTTCAATAAACTAAAGTCCTTTACTATGAGAGGGTAGTCTAACCCCTTTCCTCGGATCTACAGTGAGGGGAGAGTGTATGAGGCAGTGAGGGGAGAGTGTATGAGGCAGTGAGGGGAGAGTGCATGAGGCAGTGAGGGGAGAGTGTATGAGGCAGTGAGGGGAGAGTGAAAAGGGCAGTGAGGGAGAGTGCATGAGGCAGTGAGGGGAGAGTGTATGAGGCAGTGAGAGGAGAGTGCATGAGGCAGTGAGGGGAGAGTGCATGAGGCAGTGAGGGGAGAGTGTATGAGGCAGTGAGGGGAGAGTGCATGAGGCAGTGAGGGGAGAGTGTATGAGGCAGTGAGGGGAGAGTGCATGAGGCAGTGAGGGGAGGTGATGAGGCAGTGAGGGGAAAAGTGGCATGAGGCGTGAGGGGAGAGCGCAGAGGAAGTGAGGGGAGAGTGTATGGGCGTGAGGAGGAGTGCATGAGGCAGTGAGGGGAGAGTGTATGAGGCAGTGAGGGGAGAGTGCATGAGGCAGTGAAGGGAGAGTGTTTTGAGGCAATGAGGGGAGAGTGTATGAGGCAGGAGGGGAGAGTGGCATGAGGCAGTGAGGGGAGAGTGCATGAGGTAGTGAGGCGAGAGTGCATAGTGCATGAGGCAGTGAGGGGGAGAGTGCATGAGGCAGTGAGAGGAGAGTGCATGAGGCAGTGAGAGGAGAGTGCATGAGGCAGTGAGGGGAGGGTACATGAGGCAGTGAGGGGAGAGTGCATGAGGCAGTGAGGCGAGAGTGCATGAAGCAGTGAGGGGGAGAGTGCATGAGGCAGTGAGGGAGAGTGCCCTGAAGGCAGTAAGAGGAGAGAGCATGAGGCAGTGAGGTCAGGGTACATGAGCAGTGAGGGGAAGTGCATGAGGCAGTGAGGGGGAGAGGAGTGCATGAGGCAGTGAGGGGGGAGTGCATGAGGTAGTGAGGCGAAGAGTGCATAGTGCATGAGGCATGTGAGGGGGGAGAGTGCATGAAGGCAGTGAGAGGAGAGTGCATGAGGCAGTGAGAGGAGAGTGCATGAGGCAGTGAGGGGAGGGTACAGGGCAGTGAGGGAGAGTGCATGAGGCAGTGAGGCGAGAGTGCATGAAGCAGTGAGGGGGAGGAGTGCATGAGGCAGTGAGGGGAGAGTGCACGAGGCAGGAGAGGAGAGACAGAGGCAGTGAGGGGAGGGTACATGAAGGCAGTGAGGGGAGAGTGCATGAGGCAGTTTAGGGGAGAGTGCTGAGGCAGTGAGGGGAGAGTGCATGAGGCAGTGAGGGAAGGTGCATGAGGCAGTGAGGGGGAGAGTGCATGAGGCATGAGGGAAGGGTGCATGAGGCAGTGAGGGGAGAGTGCATGAGGCAATGAGGGGAGGGGTGCATGAGGCAGTGAGGGGAGAGTGCATGAGGCAGTGAAGGGAGAGTGTATGAGGCAATGAGGGGGGAGTGTTGAGGTGTGAGAGGAGAGTGCATGAGGCAGTTTAGGGAGAGTGCATGAGGCAGTGGGGGCGAGATTGCATGAGGCAGTGAGGGGAGAGTGCATGAGGCAATGAGGGGAGAGTGCATGAGGCAGTGAGAGGAGAGTGGATGAGGCAGTGAAGGGAGGGTACATGAGGCAGTGAGGGGAGAGTGCATGAGGCAGTGAGGCGAGAGTGCATGAAGCAGTGAGGGGGAAAGTGCATGAGGCAGTGAGGGGAGAGTGCATGAGGCAGTGAGAGGAGAGTGCATGAGGCAGTGAGGGGAGGGTACATGAGGCAGTGAGAGGAGAGTGCTTGAGGCAGTGAGGGGAGAGTGCATGAGGCAGTGAGGGGAGAGTGCATGAGGCAGTGAGGGAAGGGTGCATGAGGCAGTGAGGGGAGAGTGCATGAGGCAGTGAGGGAAGGGTGCATGAGGCAGTGAGGGGAGAGTGCAAAGAGGGAGTGAGGGGAGAGTTCATGAGGCAATGAGGGAAGGGTGCATGAGGCAGTGGGGGAGAGGGGCATGAGGCAGTGAGGGGAGGGTGCATGAGGCAGTGAGGGGAGAGTGCATGAGGCAGTGAAATGAGGGTGCATGAGGCAGTGAGGGGAGAGTGTATGAGGCAGTGAGGGGAGAGTGTATATGGCAGTGAGGGGAGAGTGCATGAGGCAGTGAGGGGAGAGTGCATGAGGCAGTAAGGGGGAGAGTGCATGAGACAGTTAGGGGAGAGTGCATGAGGCAGTGAGGGGAGAGTGTATGAGGCAGTGAGAGGAGAGTGTATGAGGCAGTGAGGGGAGGGTGCATGAGGCATTGAGGGGAGAGTGCATGAGGCAGTGAGGGGAGAGTGCATCAGGCAGTGAGGGGAGAGTGCATGAGGCAGTGAGGGGAGAGTGCATGGGGCAGTGAGGAGAGAGTGCATGAGGCAGTGAGGGAAGGGTGCATGAGGCAGTGAGGGGAGAGTGCATGAGGCGGTGAAGGGAGAATGCATGAGGCAGTGAGGGGAGAGTGCATGAGGCAGTGAGGGAAGGGTGCATGAGGCAGTGAGGAGAGATTGCATGAGGCAGTGAGGGGAGAGTGCATGAGGCAGTGAGGGGAGAGTGCATGAGGCAGTGAGGGGAGAGTGCATGAGGCAGTGAGGGGAGAGCGCATGAGGAAGTGTGGGGAGAGTGTATGGGGCAGTGAGGAGAGAGTGCATGAGGCAGTGAGGGGAGAGTGTATGAGGCAGTGAGGGGAGAGTGCATGAGGCAGTGAAGGGAGAGTGTATGAGGCAATGAGGGGAGAGTGTATGAGGCAGTGAGGGGAGAGTGCATGAGGCAGTGAGGGGAGAGTGCATGAGGTAGTGAGGCGAGAGTGCATAGTGCATGAGGCAGTGAGGGGGAGAGTGCATGAGGGAGTGAGAGGAGAGTGCATGAGGCAGTGAGAGGAGAGTGCATGAGGCAGTGAGGGAGGGTACAGACGCAGTAAGAGGAGAGAGTGCATGAGGCAGTGAGGCGAGAGTGCATGAAGCAGTGAGGGGGAGAGTGCATGAGGCAGTGAGGGGAGAGTGCATGAGGCGTAAGAGGAGAGAGGGATGAGGCAGTGAGGGAGGGTACATGAGGCAGTGAGGGGGGAGAGTGCATGAGGCAGTGAGGGGAGAGTGCATGAGGCAGTGAGGGGAGAGTGCATGAGGTAGTGAGGCGAGAGTGCATAGTACATGAGGCAGTGAGGTTGAGAGTGCATGAGGCAGTGAGAGGGGGAGTGTATGAGGCAGTGAGAGGAGAGTGCATGAGGCAGTGAGGGGGGGGTACATGAGGCAGTGAGGGGAGAGTGCATGAGGCAGTGAGGCGAGAGTGCATGAAGCAGTGAGGGGGAGAGTGCATGAGGCAGTGAGGGGAGAGTGCACGAGGCAGTGAGAGGAGAGAGCATGAGCAGTGAGGGGAGGGGACATGAGCAGTGAGGGGAGAGTGCATGAGGCCAGTGAGGGGAGAGTTGCATGAGGGAGTGAGGGGAGAGTGCATGAGGCAGTGAGGGAAGGGTGCATGAGGCAGTGAGGGGAGAGTGCATGAGGCAGTGAGGGAAGGGTGCATGAGGCAGTGAGGGGAGAGTGTATGAGGCAGTGAGGGGAGAGTGCATGAGGCAGTGAAGGGAGAGTGTATGAGGGCAATGAGGGGAGAGTGTATGAGGCAGGGGAGGGGAGAAGTGCATGAGGCAGTGAGGGGAGAGTGCAAAGAGGTAGTGAGGCGAGAGTGCATAGTGCATGAGGCAGTGAGGGGAGAGTGGGATGAGGGAGTGAGAGGAGAGTGCATGAGGCAGTGAGAGGAGAGTGCATGAGGCAGTGAGGGGAGGGTACATGAGGCAGTAAGAGGAGAGAGTGCATGAGGCAGTGAGGCGAGAGTGCATGAAGCAGTGAGGGGGAGAGTGCATGAGGCAGTGAGGGGAGAGTGCATGAGGCAGTAAGAGGAGAGAGCATGAGGCAGTGAGGGGAGGGTACATGAGGCAGTGAGGGGAGAGTGCATGAGGCAGTGAGGGGAGAGTGCATGAGGCAGTGAGGGGAGAGTGCATGAGGTAGTGAGGCGAGAGTGCATAGTGCATGAGGCAGTGAGGTTGAGAGTGCATGAGGCAGTGAGAGGAGAGTGTATGAGGCAGTGAGAGGAGAGTGCATGAGGCAGTGAGGGGAGGGTACATGAGGCAGTGAGGGGAGAGTGCATGAGGCAGTGAGGCGAGAGTGCATGAAGCAGTGAGGGGGAGAGTGCATGAGGCAGTGAGGGGAGAGTGCACGAGGCAGTGAGAGGAGAGAGCATGAGGCAGTGAGGGGAGGGTACATGAGGCAGTGAGGGGAGAGTGCATGAGGCAGTGAGGGGAGAGTGCATGAGGCAGTGAGGGGAGAGTGCATGAGGCAGTGAGGGAAGGGTGCATGAGGCAGTGAGGGGAGAGTGCATGAGGCAGTGAGGGAAGGGTGCATGAGGCAATGAGGGGAGAGTGCATGAGGAAGTGAGGGGAGAGTGCATGAGGCAGTGAAGGGAGAGTGTATGAGGCAATGAGGGGGAGTGTATGAGGTAGTGAGGGGAGAGTGCATGAGGCAGTGAGGGGAGAGTGCATGAGGCAGTGAGGCGAGATTGCATGAGGCAGTGAGGGGAGAGTACATGAGGCAGTGAGGGGAGAGTGCATGAGGCAGTGAGAGGAGAGTGCATGAGGCAGTGAAGGGAGGGTACATGAGGCAGTGAGGGGAGAGTGCATGAGGCAGTGAGGCGAGAGTGCATGAAGCAGTGAGGGGGAAAGTGCATGAGGCAGTGAGGGGAGAGTGCATGAGGCAGTGAGAGGAGGTGCATGAGGCAGTGAGGAGGGTACATGAGGCAGTGAGAGGAGGAGTGCTTGAGGCAGTGAGGGGAGAGTGTATGAGGGAGTGAGGGGAGAGTGCATGAGGCAGTGGGGAATGGTGCATGAGGCAGTGAGGGGAGAGTGCATGAGGCAGTGAGGGAAGGGTGCATGAGGCAGTGAGGGGAGAGTGCATGAGGCAGTGAGGGGAGAGTTCATGAGGCAGTGAGGGAAGGGTGCATGAGGCAGTGAGGGGAGAGCGCATGAGGCAAAAGGGGGGGAGGGTGCATTTAGGCAAATGAGGGGAG